GGGCTCACTTGTCTTTATTGATGATGTAACTCATGATGGTAGCAGCAGAATGAATTCTGAAGTCTACAAAACCATTCTGTCTGGCAATTTACAGAAAAATGCATCCAAACTAATCGGGAGAAGCTTCATCATGCAACACGACAATGACCCAAAACACACCGCCAACACAACAAAGGACTTCATCAGGGGGAAAAAGTGGAAGGTCTTGGACTGGCCAAGTCAGTCACCAGACCTTAACCCAATAGAGCATGCGTTTTCCCTCCTGAAGAGGAGACTGAAGGGAGAAGCCCCCAGAAACAAACTAAACTAAAAGAGGCCGCAGTAAAGGCCTGGAACAGCATTTCAAATGAAAAATGCAACAGCCTGGTAAAGTCAATGGGTCGCAGGCTCGATGCAGTTATTGCAAGTAAGGGTTACGCCACCAAATATTAAATGTTATTCACTTTAATTTATGTTAATAATGTCTGTTCCAATACTTTTGCTCACTTGAAATGTGGGTGGGTTCAAAGAAAAGGGGCTCAGTCCTGAGTTGTTTAACACACCTGGATGTCAATACCATGAAATAAAAGCTGGAATTCTGAATTTTTGTCTCATATTCATCTTTTGATCTGATCTGTCTTCACTATACAACAAAAACAAAGGAATTGCCCTTGCCGTTCCAATACTTTTGGAGGGGACTGTATATATAAAGAGAACAAGAAACATATTTCCCAGTATAAAAACTGGCACAGTATTCTTTAACCAGTGCTGACGAAGCCTCCAGACTGGCTGTTGACGGAAAGCCTCCAGTCAATTGACTCACATGCAGAAAACCCTGAGAAGTTAAACATAGAGACAAATGGTCAGAAGAACAGAGAAAAACAAAGAAAGAGAAAAAGAGTTTCTTTCAGTCATCGCTTCACCAAAAAGCAAAGGCTGTGAAGCCTGATGGGAAATTCAATGGACAATCCAAACAGAAACCTTCGCCTGCGACGCATCATGTTGCTACCTAACCAGGCATAAAGGTTTTGTAGGGCTGTCTGTTGCCAGAGAAGTGTATTTAATCTAAAGTGTGCAAACCAAACTAGAAATGCAACAGTCCCACTCCCTTCACTATGATTTAGTTTCCACAGGTTTGGTTACACACAGATTTCATTGGGGTGAAATCTCACTGGCATCACCAATAACTACAGTCTGAAGATTGTAAAGCTCTGTAATTCACGATAGACATTTTCTCATTTCAAAAAATGTAAAATTAAAGAAGTTGAAGAGTGAAGAATATTGTTAGAATTGTAAACACACACACTTACAAGGTTGATGTTTATGAACTCCACAGTCTGGCACCATCCACTGACCATTAACGAAATTCCCAAAAATTGAACATTGGAAGAAAATACTTATGAATCCACACACAAAAATTTCACCCTTACATGAGATGCCATGAAAATATATATTTTTAAAATATATATTTTAGGCATTTTAAGAATGACTAAAGTGAACTGTTCAGACATGAACACATTAGCCTGAATAAGCTAGTAAATATATTGCTTGTTCTGTTTTTTAAAATGCTTTTGCTAGGGGGCGCCAGAGAATTTTAGGTGAGTTTGTCACAGCATGTAAACCAGCTAAGGTGCCTGAGTAAATGAGTGAATGGATTTGCTACATGTACAGTAAGAAAGAATGAATGCTTCTATTATACAAATATTTTTGAAAATTTGGAATTTCAAGGACTAGTTTGAGATATTAATTAAACGTCATCTGTTTCATGGACATAACATTTTCAAACGTCTTGCCACACAGACTCCTTCAGCCTTCAACCCAGAAGAAACAGATGCAGCATAGCATAGCAATGCTAATGGATTAGCATGTTTTGAGACCAAATTATTCCATCACATGCCCTCACCTCAACACCAACACAGTGGATTGCAAAAATCTCACGTATGAGACACTGAACAATGACAAATATATTCAGGATGGTCAAGTTGTTAGTTAACCAATAACTGCCTGAAAATGTCTCAAAGCTAGCAGGCTAGTGTTGTAGTGTTGTAGCCAAAGCAGACACAAAAGCACTTCAGAAAATAGATGTAATCCTACTGCATGTTAAACCACAACCAAAAGATGAACAGTTAAAGAGTCCAGTGAAGTACTTAATATAGCTGAAAATAAAAAAAACAGACAGAAATGTCTTGTAAGAACTTTATATATTTACCTTGTTTAATGAGCCACAGGAGGTTTTGGGCTAACTGGACACACAAATGGTTGGTTGTGTTTATATGTGGCTGTAGTTAAACTGTCTTGTACACCACTGGACAAACTAATAATTATTATTATTATCATGGACCAGCACAACCCTCATTGACATAAAACACACATAAAGCCTCCAATTGTTTCTAAAGCAAATGTTGCATTTTTGGGTTTAGGTTTCTTTAAAAATCCAAACCCAGGCTACAATAATTCAAAGGCAAAACACTTTTTATATCCAGTCCTTTTTGTTTTCCTCAATATAGGCAATGGATTCTGAACGCAACCTGTTCGTGACCTCGTACGTGCGCAGCGTGACGCCAAAGATGTCCTCGTGGTATCGATTTTCATCCTGAGGAAACAGAAATAAACATTTGGTGCACAAATTCCAGACAAGATAAATATTGCAAAATGTGTATTCTGTATACAAGGTACTGGAATATATACAGTATATACTGTATAGTACAGCTAGATGAATAATCCACTTTAGTCCCTGTGGTTTCTTTGCAAAAATTATGTTGACTGTATTTCCTTTTCTTTTTTTGGGGGGGGGGGTTACATAACAGTGACTTTTTTTCCCACATAATTTTCATTGTGTTTACCGTTCCTTCAAACATTGAACGCCATTCTACATCTGTATACTACACACGTACATTGTTTGGCCCTTCAGCTGAGTTTCAACATTGGAAAAAAACATATAATACTAGGAGAAAAACTCCAGCATGTTCTCAGCCCAGTCAACCCTTGTACTCCGATAAGACTCCCATCACTCCTGTCCGGTGTCACCATAGTTAATCTCTTACACGTAGCTTGCTGATGAAAAATCCAGCGTCTTCCAGAGTCATGTTGCCCTGCTGCTTGACAATTTGCTGCACGGTCTTGAGAACGTCTCCGGCCATTGTAACATCCCCGCACACGTAGATGTGTCCTCCCTCCTCCCGCAGATACTTGTACACCATCTCTGACAGCTGCTCACGCAACACATCCTGTACATATTTCTGACAAGCACCAAGACAAAGAATGATGACTTGTCAAATATAAAGTCAGGAAAAGTGGAAAAAGGAAAAAAAATACTGTATATTACTGCAGTCACCCAGGTAAAATCACTGCTAATACTTGATGTCAAAGCAAAAGAAAAACATATATGTGGACATATATGTATATATGTAATACATATACATATATGTGTATATATGTATACATATATGTATATATACTACATATATATACATAATATATATACATATATACATATATTCAAACCTGTGTGTGAGAATATATATTTGAACATATATTTATATATATTTTTGATATTTACATATACAGTAAATATATATTTATTTCTAAAATAAATCAAATTACATTTTTAAACTATTTAATGCATGGGATTAACATAACATATTTTTTCCTATACTGATGAATCCAAGATCTGAATTAGTCACAAATAAAGAGTACTTTTTTAAAATTGCAATTAATTATGAAAAAGCAAAACCTAATTCTCTGCTGATGCCACAGACACCACCCTGCCCCTCCAATACTCATTACTGCAAAGTATTGCACTTGCATAAGTAAAAAAAATATACAAAACAACAAAAGAACAGGAAACAAAGGGTAAAAAAGAAAAAAAATATCAAACAGCTACATGTGTTAGAAAGTGTAACACTGAGTCCTGCAGCTGTTTTTGTTCAGTCCATTCTATGATTCCATTTCATACCCATGCAGTGGTTTTAACCCTTGTAAAGTCCTTCGGATCTAGGTGACCCCCGGGTCACCTATTCATTAATACCTATATTCTGGGACAAGATGAAAATCATTGCAAGGACAAACGGTGTGTACAAAATTGTGAAGGACCGCACATGGGTTAATGACAGTTTTGACAAACTGAGTCATCATCTCCAGAGCCGGACACTTCAGGGCTCTTACCTTTGGTTTACCAGGTTCTCTGGAATAGGCTGTGTAGAGCTCCTTGAACACTCCTTTGTTTTTGGCCTGAATGGTCTCCTGATGGTATACGTGGTCCATTTCCGACTGCCGACAACCAAACACCAGTACCATTGGGCAGGACTCAACCTCTTTAAAATGACAGGCAAAAATATTGCAGTTCTATTCAGTATTAAATTATCAACATCCTACTCTCTTACATGGAATGTACATGCCATACACACACATACATACATATATATATATATATATATATATATATAGTATATATTTTTATTTACTGTAGTGCATAAAACTCCTCGAACCTTTGTGCTCACGTTCAAACAGTCTTTGTTGCCAGAAGCTCCTGAAGGGGGCGATACCCGTTCCTGGACCAATCAGAATACAAGGAGCCTGCTTGTCTTTGGGAAGTTGGAAGGATGGGGCACTGATATGTCAACATTGAAACATACATGTTAACGTCTGTCATTGTCTGTCATGTCCAGAGTACATTCCTATACTCTTAGTACTGCAAGTGGTTGCAATAAAACCTCTTGGTGAAAATGTTCATAACAATATAACTTGGAAGCAGAAGTTTGAGGAGTGGAGGGAATTGAAAAGTATCACAGTTAGTCAAAAAGTTCTAAGAGACATGTCATAACTTCTCTAAAGTCTCCTACTGGTTAAAAAAGATTTATTGGTCAAGTGTCGCATGGCGTGATCCAGTTTTAACACCTCAGAAAGGAACGAAATTTAAATCAGACGAAATATCAAATTTTTATCCGCACTTCAGCGACAAACCTGTCAAAATTAGTTACGCTTTGCAAAGGGTTCGGATTTAGTGTGTCTGATTTTTCTTTTTTGAGTTTGCTGTGGAAAAACATTTTAAAGTAACTGCACCAACAAGAGGTTGACAATTGGTGAGGAAGCCATCCAAGAGAATTTCAAATAAAGAAAATCTCATGGTACAGAAGGGATAAAAAGTGTTTATGAGTAATAAGTATATATATATATCCATCCATCCATTTTCATCCATAACTGGGTCGCGGGGGCAGCAGTCTCCACCCAAATCACATTGCACTATACCAACCACTCTAATCGGGATTTAAACTTGCCCAGGAGGTGAACCCTGGGGTTCCAGATACAGTGGAACCTCGAGATATAAGCGCCTCCACATTCGAGTATTCTGATATACGAGCAAACCTTCGAGCAAATTTTTGCTTTGAGACACAGCAGCCCACGTCGCCTCACTCGTTCACTTCACGTGTTCGTCAACTTCGTGCATCTCCTATGAGTCTTTCATGTTGTTTTTGCGTTATCTACGTGATTTTCTCTCTATTATGTGCATTATTCTTCATAAAAGTGATGAGTCCTAAGAGAGTGAGTGGTAAGGATGGTAGTGAGAAGAAGAAACGCATAATGACCATGGAAATAACATACTCAACTTATGGTCCAAGGTATAATAACCATGTCTATAGCACCCCCTGCAGGAGCCTCCATTCAAAAAAACATTTTAAAAATCATTTTAAAACTTTTGCTTATCTGTCCTTATCTTTCCACCTCCCTTTCTTCGTCTTCCTAATTTTTCTCCATGGGTATCATCTATTATCAGGACCTTTGACCTTTACAGTTGCTTGGCGACTGCAACACCTTTTGTCCTACATATCCAGGATCTGTGCATTCTTGGAGGTAAACCAGCAACTCTATTGACTGACAAGTATTGTCTATTGTGTAAAATGGGTCCGAATATTCCGTGGCAGGGACCAGCCAGTTGCTTAGTTGCAGAGACGGTGGAACGACAACAGTAAAGAGTTAAAGAGGTTTTCTGGTCATCCAATTCTTGTTAACGCAGGACCTGAAAAGAGCCGACTGCTCTCAGAGACTCTCGCTCCCGTCTTTTTAGCACGTCTTATTATTTTTACCTGGTAGCCTGCTACTGTATCTATTTTTTTACTGCTTTATTTTTTTTTACTTTAGCAACAGTTTTTTTCTTCACACTGTTGCTCACAAAATACTTCACTTCTCAAGGATCCAGATTAGAAGTGTATTTTGCATCTGGTTGGTGTTTTCCATTTTTTAAATATTAGCAACTATTTTTCTCCTTCTTGTTCAGTGTCTGTTTTTGCTGAGCTTCCAGGAAATTCTCTGAGGAAAGAGATTGAGATATATACCTTCGGACAAAACACGGCACCATCTCTCCTTTCTCTATCCTGTTGAGCCATGAAGAGCACACTCCATGGTGGAGAGGTCCAGCTCCATCTGAAACAGACAGTTAGAATAAAATACACTTTGTTCACGTTGTCTTTCTCCTCTGCTTCTGTTTCAGCGCATTGAAGACATGAATCTGTGTATGCAGGTGTGTTGAGAGCATGTTTTCCAGGGCTAGGCCAATCCCAACACTCTTGCTCTCTAAAAAGGAAATTACAGTAATTCAGCTGCCCCTTGTACAATCATGCTAACCTACTTGAAGTATGCATTACACGTGTGAGAGGAAAATAATAGTCACCGTTGACGATCTACTGGTTGAGAAAAGTGAATGCTTATTGCAGAGGTGGAGGACCATATAATACACAACATACATACATACTCTATATGCAGATGACACACTGCATTTCACACAAATTTCTAATAAAAAAAAAATAAATTTGGGCAACTACATCATCATGTTAGGCAACTCGTTATTCTCTGTCCAATTACCCGCTTTGTGAAATGCAAGATAATGTTTGGTTAGAGTCACAAGGTTTGCCTCACAAGGAGGTCCTTACCTCTGGCTCGATAGGAAACTACAGCGACCGTGAGGTGAATCTCTCCTGGGTGCAGGTCAGAAGAAGAGCTGATTGAATAATAGCGAGGCTGTAGCAGAGGCAGCTGGGTCAGCAGCAGAGTGGACGGCATCTGGATGGAGGGGAACTCCTCCATCACCTCCACCAGGGTTGGGTTGTTGTACCACTTGCACTCCTCGTACTCCTGCAGGCCCTGAGAGGTAGGCAGGATGGATACATTTGTGTTTTGAATTTTGCTTAATTTAATTTAAATAGACAGTTGGTCATTTATTTTTCAACTTAGGTGCTTTTGATTTATGTTTGGCCCAACCTTAAGAAACAGTTTTTTTGTTATACAAGGTGGTCTAAACAAAAAATTACCTCCAGACCTTTCAGCTTAAGAGACTTACGTTATGTCGGTGATCAAATTTTGATTGAATTTTAAATGAAAAGCTCTCATTGACAAAAAACATCAGAGCACACAACAACAGGAAATCAGCAGAGGAGGACTTTCACTTTTAGACCTGTAAACATGTCTGACTCAAAAACGGGAGGCAGCCCCAGACAGAGCAGTTCGCCAAACGCCGCTTTGTTTGTCATCACTGACATTTGGAGAGAAGAAAATTGAGCTGAGCCTAAAAAAAAGACTAATTAATTTTCTGCGCTTCGGTTTATTTTGGAGATGCTAATAAACCACTGGATGCTGATGAGGAGTCCTGTCGTTTGAAGCACCTTAACAATAAACAGTTTAACAAACCACACAAACAAATTAACCAACCACATGCAAGGTTTGCAATTATTTTTTTTACAGAAAAAAAAACAAAAATGCCATTAATTCAAAAAATAACTTATAAATAAATAATAATAAATAATAACAATAAAAAGATTCGAAAAGTCAGAGAAACCTGATGATTGTGTCGATTGCTGTCAGATATTCAGTGCCCAAACACTGGGTCTCTGACCTTTAGTGGGCTGTTGGTTACTTGATACCATACCACAGCTAGATTTCTTTTAACCCTTGTGTAATGTTCATATTGTTGTTACTCAGCCAGTGTTTGTGGGTCCGATGGACCCGTTGCATTTTGTGGCTTTTGATGCCTCACAATCAACACTTTTATGTTAAAATACTGAACAGATGTTTACCTTATCCCAATTATAAGCAGTATAAACAATATACATGGTTAATATTTGCCCTTTACCTTTGTTAGGTCACATTTATATGTTATAGGTATGTTCTGTGTACCTACACTCTGTCCTCCTCCTGTCTAGGCCTGCTGTGT